AGGGATCTTCTGGCCAAATTCAAGGAGGGGAAGGTTTAACGAGGTTAGGCACAAAGGATCCTGGCAGGGGAATGGGGCCATGGTCAACAAAGACACCTTTGAATCTGCTGAGCATTTGTAAGGAGGACAGGAACAGAAAATACACCTGATTCGGGCTGCATTTGGCTGCAGGGGACCGTCCACCACCATATGACACAAACTCCATCAGAAACGGAAACAAGACCTTAAATATAATAAACCCAGGATTCTTAGCAAAAGAATACTGTGCTGTTATTTCATCATGAGGTCAAACGTTTTCCCCGTTTTTTTTTTTTTTGAGTTGGAGTCTCACTCTATCGCCCAGACTGGAGTGCAGTGGCCGCTCCCGGCCACTGCAGCCTCGACCTGCTGGGATCCGGTGATCCTTCCGCCTCAGCCTTCTGAGTAGCCAGAATTACAGGCGTGCACTACCACACCTGGCTGATTTTTTTTTATTTATTGTAGAGATGAGGTCTCGCTGCCCAGGCGGGTCTCAAACCCGCAGACTCAGGCAATCCACTCACCTCAGTCTCCCAAAGGCGCAGGATTACAGGCTGAGCCACCGAGCCCGGCTCACACAACCTTTTTTATTTATTTGCCCAAATTTATATAAAGTAACCTCTTACAATTTTCGGTATTTTCTCTCTTTTAATAGTTATTTTCTAAGGTTATAAGGTTAGTTTTTGTTGTATTTTTTAAAATGCGTTCATCAGTTACACTTTTTAAATTTTGTAATGAATTTCCTTCTGCTTTCATCTTTATGAATTTAGGAAAGACATTTAGAATCAAACATGATTCTCAAAGCAAAAACTATAAAAAGATTGACAAATCTTGACTCTCCATTGTCTTCTCTTTGACAGTTTGTCTAACCCAGAGCCAATATTGTGCTTATTTACTTTAGCTGCATATTGTTTTACAGACTGGTTAAGTGAGGCCACCCTCCATGTTCTTCTTTGTGAGTTGCTGGTTATCCTCAGCTTCTTGCATTTCTGCATATATTTTAGAATCAGTTTGTCAATTCTCTTCCACTTTCCAATACCTCCTTCCAGAAAAAGATAGGAAGGCTGGTAAATATCACTTTGCTGTGGTCAGGTTGGGATTACTCACCATGAAACGGTACTCAGCTTAACTGGGTCCATATGCTGCTTCCCCAGCTTCTCTGCTATTACAGGGGGCCAAGGAAGGGGAGAAGGTGGATCCTGGAAAGGGCTAACTGATACTTCAGCCAAGGTTTCATGGCTGGTGTTGATAAGGAGATAAACAAATACAACATGCACAAATGCTCCTTAGGACTCTGGAAAGAGGAGTCATTCTTAGGAGCTGAAGAAGCCAACCTATGGGCAAAAAGGGATCTTGGTCCTCCCTCAAAGTAGAAAGGACATTTGTGGAAGGCTGGGCCACATGCAGACAGAGTGTGATGTGTTTCTCAAATTATTTATTTTTGCTTTGTTTCTTTTATAATTTATTTTGCTTCCATTTTTTGATTGGCTGAAATGTTCATAAATTGCTTCTTCAAAGAGTGGTGGCTCAGATTGTAATCCCAGCACTTTGGGAGGCCGAGGTGAGTGACTGCCTGAGCCCACGGGTTTGAAACCAGCCCAGGCAACTTGGTGAGACCTCGTCTCTACAATAAAAAAAAAAAATTAGCCAGGTGTGGTAGCGTGCACCTGTAGTTCCGGTTACTTGGATGACTGAGGCGGATGGATCGCCGGAGCCCAGCAGGTGGACAAAGGGGTGGCTGTGAGCATGCCACTGCACTCCAGCCTGGGCAATGGAGTGAGACTCCAACTCAAAAAAAAAAAAAATTATGAGTTTTGTAAGTTGGAGACTGTCTTCTGTTATGATGGTACACAATATTTTGACTCAGTATAGAAGTTTCTGCATGGTCAGAATAGTCAGAAGGCACATTTGAAAGGGGAAATTGACAAGACAGGTGATCAAATATAGGTAAGTGGTGCAGAAAGCTGAGATGATGGCCAGACATCCTGATCGGTTGATTGGTTTTGCCCTCAGTCAGCAGAAAGAAGGTGAGAGAAGGGTGGTTTTGATGGAGGAATGGAAGCAGGGTCTGAAGTAAAGAATCTGACTATAGCTAACAGCAATCTATTGTACATTTCAAAATACCTAGAAGAGAATAATCCGAATGTTCCTAGTACACAGAAAGGGTAACTATTTAAGGAGATGGATATCCCAATGACCCCAAATTAATTACATGAATGCACAAAATTACCTAATGTAGCCTGAAAATATGGACAACTATTATGTATCAATTTTTAAGAAAAAAAAACACTTTCAAAAACAAAAATAATCTAATTTCAAATATCTCGGGTTTTCTGTATGCATTGGGGGGATTTGTGTGTGAGGTTTTCCCCCCACAAAACATATGGATTTCAGAGGCATTCCAGTCTTACTAAATATTATCGCATGAATTCATAAGTAACACTATGCAAAAGACAATCAAAGACTAGTTAGAGAAAAATTAAAGGAGTCATGACACTGACTATACCTCATCAAAATGAAGTGTTCCATTCAAAGGACTGAGGTCATGCTTGGCCTTCTCATCTACAGCCCACTGAAGGCGGACAGCTCCTTTTCCTCCTGGGGACCGGACAACCGTCAATGTCACATAAGAATCAGGGTCATCAGACAAAAGGGATTCATCAACCATTACCTTGAAGAAAGAAATTCAATAAGGTTAAAAAAGAGAGAGAAAGCAGGAGAAACAACCAGAACCTTATTTCTGTTCAGAATGACTGCAGGGTTTGAATTTAGAACTCTATTCATAGCACATTACAATCAAGTAGCCAAAAAAATTTTACCAAATCCTATCTCCATTTTTTTACCCAGACACTTAACTAGCTGGCATCTCCTATCCTCTCTTGCAATTAGGTGGCACATGTGGATGAATTCTAGCCAACAACAGAGGCAGAAGCGACATATGCTGCTCACTTTCTGGCCATAAACTTCACACAATACCCCACAGTCTCTCCCTTCCCATTTGTCAGGTAAATAGAGAGGCTGCCTGAGATCTAGAAGAGGATAGAGCCATAGGATGGGAGGGGTCTGATGCGTGGGAGCTGCTAGTTGAAGAAGAGGTGTCCATTAGCGTCAGCAGGCTAGGAACCCTGGTGGAGGATTCTTGCATGAAGAAGCAGCAAACGCTTACTTTGTGAAGGAGCTGAGATTTAGGGGTCTTTGTTAACACAATTAGGCTCCCACACAATACAGACCTAACCTATCCTTGGAATTACCTAAAGTTGACCAACTTCAGTGAGTCTAAGTGTAAAAGCGGTTTTATTAACCTGAAATAAAGAGAGAAGGTGATTCGGTACATTAATATACCAGTACTATTTAATTCTTATACCAGTCCTTATTAAGAGACCTGGTACAAGTGAATTACATATGTTGATGCTGTGAAACAAAGTCCAAATAGAACCAATATCATCCATCTGTTATGTAAATACAAAGTAGAACACAGTGCTTTCCATTGTCAAGATAGGCGCCTAACAAACATGCAGCACAATCTTGTCTTGTTTTGGGGTTTTTTGTTTTTTGGTTTTTTCTTCATGAGATTTTACATTGATACCAAGAGCAGAGATTTGGAGCCAAGTGATATTTACTCAGCTTCTAATATGTGTCAGATCTACATATACTTTATCTTTCTTAAGTCTCACAGAAACTTTTAGATATCTGAGAGCCAGATATATACACATATTTGGAGATACGGGGTCTGAACTTTGTGTCCAAAAAATTTCTGTTCATACCACTCCTCAAAGATGAGAAATATTTAATTGAAAAAAAATGTAAAAATTTTCTACACAAATAGCATTTATAAGTCTTCTTTGATTCTATCAAAACAACATTATAGTTTAGGTTTCACAAATAGAGTTCCATGAGTCTCTGCTATTCCTGGTGTTTTGACAGACTTACCACACTGCCCTTGTGAGTAGTTTACTAATTTTGACAGATTTATATGAACAACCCTTTCTCAATGTTGTTCAGTTCTTATTCTAATCTGTGTCAACAAGTAATGCTAACAGAATTTCACTGGGCACACAATATGTATATCTTACACACATGTGGAAAAATAAACTCCACACTATCAAGAAAGTTTTGTGATAAGAAAGATGGGATATAAATAAACAAGCAACCACAAAAGGCTGAATAACAAGCTACTCCTAATATTACCAACAACAAAAATAACAACTGAACCTATTGAGTGAAAGCTCAGGTATGAGCTCTTTATATCTGTCAACTCGTACAGGAATTGGGATATCCATCTTTTTAGATAGTTATCTTTTCTGTATGCTAGAAACATTCAGATTATTCTCTTCTACCTATCTTGAAACGTACAATAGATTAATGCTAACTATAGTCACCAAGAATAATGAGGAATAATATAGTAGAAAGGTGGTAACCTAAAACAGTAAGATATTATTCTCCAAGCCAACTGTGCTTAACCTGAATTTAGAGGACTACAGTTTATGACAGCAGTTAAGATAAAATGAATAAACAAAAATCATTATGAATAGTAGCGTAGCTCTTTATTTTCTCTAATGGCCAGAAAAGCTTGTGAACACACTGTCCAGTGACAAAGTCCAAAATTGTGATGAAGTTAAAAGCAAAAACATTATTATAACGTTTCACCAATTCAAGTTTTGAACACTAAACCCTGAACTTTTTATCTAAACTCAGAAACTAATAGAGACATTTCATAAAAAAGGAAATTACATACTTATATGCATTAAAATAGTTCTTTGCATATATGCAAAGAAAGCAAGGCCATTGGAACTACAACAAAATAGTAATGATGCCTATCTCAGAGTACTAATATTATGAACATTATTGCTCTCCTTTTGATACTTTTGTGCATGTCCCAGCTACTCTTTTATTCACAGCTACTCTTTTGCCAACCCATCCTTTCTTAGAAACACTTCTACTTATTTCTTTCCCAAGAAAGAGTCTCATTGGGCTACAGTGAAAGTGTGTCCTGTCCCTTTTACAATTCCCATTTTCTTATGAAATTAAATTTCAATGAATGAATCATTAGGAAGTGATTAGGTTACATTCATTGAAATTTTGGAGCATCTGGGGGAAGACTAGCCCTCACAGGAATGTTGTAGGTTCAGCCTTGTATCCACAGGAAAGTCAAGACAACTGGCACTACAACAACTGGTTTGTTAATTTAAATTAATCTATGGTGAGTTATTGATGACCTATAAGTGATTAAATAAAAAGAATAGTGACATATGAAGCCAGAAAAGTTGCTGAGTATATGGGAAGTATTGAAATATCTTTATGATTATTTCATCTTGAAATTTCCTTTGAGAGGTAAAGTCATAATAATTATGACATAACCATCACATAATAATAATTATGATAGAATTCACAGTGCTTTGTATCTAAGATGTAGTGATCACTTGGTACTAGTCACCAAATCTGGCTACACAAATATTTAATTCTCATGATTAATGAAGCTTTTGTTCCTCCCTCAGTGGTTGAATCAAAAATAATCAAGTTCCCTTCTTTGGGTCTTGGAAGTAAACAGCCAAAGAGAAGTAAGAGGGAAGAAATACAGAGAAACACAGGAGTCAAGAGTGACTGTGATATTTTGTTCAACATAAGTCAGAATAGAATACCACAACATGGGCAATTTTAACCCCTCTCTGTGGCATATGGCACCCAGACCCAAGACAGAATCCCACCTGGGAGCAAGATGGCGACCTGGTAGTAGGGCAGGCAGAGAATAGAAAGTATGGAGAAAAGCACACCCTGGTGTCCTACACCCAATATAGAGGAATCTGTTCCCCTTGATAACTGCCTGATGAGTTCTCATCCCCACCAAAATGCGTACATTGGAGGACAGTCCTAACTCAAGAGCCCACTCAAAAGACCCTTGAGAAGAGCCTTATAAGTGAAAGGGAATGAAGAGTTTCAAAACAAATATGAACTGTATCTTTCTACTCCAAATTACAGATAGCATTAGCCTGGGGTAAGGCACGCCCATGATATGTTTAACTTACAGTCTTTTCTTCAAATCCGAATACTCCAAATGGAGAATCATTTTGTGGAATAACAACAGTTACTGCAACATCATCACCAAGTCGGCCACCTCCAGTCACACTAAGTAGGGAAATACTGAAGGTCTCTATGAGTTCAAATTCAGCATCATCAATTATGGTGATTTCTATCATTGCAGTAACCTATAAAAGAAAGAAAAGAAGAAAGGGAGGAAGGGAGGAAGGAAGAGCAAGAGGAGGTAGAGGGAGAAAGGGAGAAAAGAGGTAATGTAATCATTCCTGTGCTCATATATATTTTAATTTTTTTAGTTGAACTCAGAAGCATGAGACAAAAAAAGTCAATTTTTTGCCATTCCGTTAATAACAGTTTTAAAGTAATATATATTTATGACATTTCAAAGTCAGAAATTTATAAAATCTATTATTATCAAGATAAAATTATTATTTACAGATACAAAAAAGAATAAATCCTTAATCTTGAGCAAAAAATTTTAAAATGTCAATGCAGGCTCTAACCACCATTGCACAAACATAAAATGTCATATGCTTGGTATTAATATTACCAGACTTAAAATGAAACCATAAAAATTATCATTGTTTTCTGCAATTAAAATAAATTCCATTGGTTTCAAATATCGCTCTTCTTGTAATATAGGCAAAAAGAAAGGCAGAAAGAAAACCCAAATATGCTATTCTTGGCTGTTTATGATCAGACTTTAGTTCGCTTGTCTTGGGTATACGTAAGTCTTTATAAACTTATAAATAAATAAAACCTGATCCAGTTTACAGTTTCACCATTAGTCATAAAAATATCCCAATGTCTCTGATACAGACATTTACTAGAAATGGAAGCTCTTCTACCTAATCCACCTAAAACCTTTAAGTTAACAATGGAGGCCAGGCACAGTAGTTCACACCTGTAATCCCAGCACTTTGGAAGACTGAGGCGGGAGGATCACTTAAGCCCAAGAATTTGAGACCAGTCTGGGCAACACAGTGAGACCATATCTCTACAAAAAATCTAAAAATTAGCCTGGTATGGTGTCACACACCTGTAGTCTCAGCTACACAGGAGACTGAAGAGGGAAGATCATTTGAGCCCAGGAGTTGGAGGCTGCAGTGAGCTATGATCACGCCACTGAACTCCAACCTGGACAACAGAGTGAAATCCTGACTTCAGTTTCTGATTTTAATGTACAAATCTCATTTGCTTGCATTCCTCTCTTTATAGTAGGAAATGTTTCAGAGTTCTAAATCTGTTTCATACACTCATGATTTCTAAAATATTAACATCAACAGGCCTTCCTGTGAAGGAAAACCTAGATTAGTATGCTTACTCCTTAGCAGCATTGACTGCCCCCATGGGCAACCAACAAGGTTGCTCCTTCTGCCTCAGCCTCCCCAGTAACTGGGACAACAAGTACATGCCACCACACTCAGCTAAGGTAGCTTATGCAAACTTGTTTAGGCAGAATCAGGCTACCTATAGACAGATGTTGCCACGTGAATTTGCTAATCTTTTCACGGTTGTTCATATGTCTTTTCCACTGGTTGAGAAAAAATTTTATGAAAACATCTTATTCTTTTATCTTACAAAATGCCCAGTTTACACAACCTGTAATTCTTGGTGAATAGTTTGTAGTTGTTAACATTGTTTAGCCTAACTCTGGAAAACTCTTTTTCAATTTTTTGAGTTTTAACTATTTTGTCCCTTTTACATCATTTTATTCATTTTTAAAATTGTAAAGGACATTTTGGATATTAAGCAAAAATGTGCATGCTTTGAGTGCCAATCCTAAATAAATAAATATTTGTATTTACTAGCATTAGAAACAAAAAGAATAAAAAAGAAAAGAAACTGAAGTCCACAGGAATAGTCTAGTTCATCAGGCAGTTTTTCATACATTGTTGGGCACCTCTAAGTCCACCATTATCCTGTTTTGTAACTTGTATTTTAAATAGAATCGGAGGGCAGGGGTTAGCTCAGAAAAGTATAAGATCCTTTTCTCAGTGTTATTTTCCTATGCCCGCTAACAAATTGCACATTAATTGATAATATTTATATTTGACTTGACATAAAAACATTTAGAGCATAACATATTTAACAATCACTAATGTACATTCATTTGGTGGATGCCTATAAAATTGTTTATAAATCTTTGTTTGAGTCAGGGTCTCTGTTGCCCAGGCTAGAGTACACTGGTACAGTCACAGCTCACCACAGCCTTGACCCCTTGGGCTCAGGCGATCCTTCTGCCTCAGTCTCCCCAGTAATTGGGACTACAGGCAGGTGCCACTACACTCAGTTAATTTTTATTCTTTTGTAGAGAAAAGGGAGGTCTTGCTATGTTGCCCAGGCTGACTTGAATTCCTGGACTCAAGTGATCCTCCCTCCTTGGCCTTCCTAAGTGCTAGAATTACAGGTGTGACTCACTGCGCCTAGCCACTTTATAAACATTTTATAACAAAAATGTTATAAAATGTTTTATGATGACAAAAAAACACTGATATAGTCATGACAGCATACTTGTCCATCTGCAAATTTGAGAATTCCATGAGATGGCTTAAAGTCTTCCAGGCCAGCACTGTCTGGTGTTGCTTTCCAATAAACATTCACTGCCCCAAAGCTTCCAGCCAGCCGGACTACAGGGACTTGAAGAACATTCGCGGGTGAAGGCATCTCATAGGCAATAATAACTCCACCAACATCCTTTAAATGAAGAACATCAGTTGAAAGCCAAGACAAACGTCGTAACTCATAAGTTATCTTTCTAAATGTACTGTTTCTTCTTAACTTCTTATATGTCACCCTTTAAAGTAGAAATTAAAACTCAGATAAAAATATGCATAATAGGTCTTCTGAATATTTAGGTTTAAATGTAATGAAAATAAACTTGCTCAAAACTTTGATGTAGCTCAAAGAGAACTCAGAATCAGTCTAAAAAACAAATGTGATTATTTATCTATTTATAAATATCTTCAAGCAAAGCCAAATGTTAGGCAGAAAATATATTACAAAACGCTGGTCAAACTAGCAGGGAGAAGCTCCTATATTACTACAAATATTTGAAAGCTCATCTCACTCTGATAACACGAAGCATGAAGATTCCTCTGGGATCATCATTTTCTTCGATTGTTATCTCAGCCGTTTCCATCCCAGGCCTCCGTAAACCTGGCTGTCCTGCAGAGAAGTCGGAGTTCAGCAGGTTCACCCCGGTGACAGTGACAACAAATCCTTCCTCCAGCTCGGGAACATCATCCTGGGGGTAGGGAAACAGAGATGACATTTCATTTTTTAAAAAGATGTTTATCTGCATTGATATCTTGCTATTTTTCAGGAAGGAATAACTAGCTTTATCTACAGGAATGAGCAGCGCTATCACACTTAATGAAGTTTCCTTCTTATCTATTCAGACATTCCCACCGGCAACTTCAGGCTCTGCACACTATTCAAGCTGTTGGTAGTGGTTCAGTGGAATGCTCACACTCATTAGCAAATAAAATAATTTTTAAAAATCTATCTTGCACTGGGCACGGTGGCTTACGCCTGTAATCCAAGCACTTTGGGAGGCGGAGGTGAGAGGACTGCCTGAGTGCAGGTGTTCGAGACCAGCCTGGGCAACTTGGCGAGACCACATCTCTACAATAAATCAAAAAATTAGCCAGGTGTGGTGACATGTGGCTGTGGTTCCAGCTACTTAGAAGGCTAAGGTGGAAGGATCGCCGGAACCCCGCAAGTTGATGCTGGGGTGGCTGTCAGCATGCCACTGCACTCCAGCCAGGGCGACAGAGACTCTAATTAAAAAAAAAATTCTGTTCTGCAATTTTGGCCATATTCTACTGACCAAGTTTTACATCTGTAATATCCCAAAAGGAAATTTAGAGAAAAACTGGTAAAAGCTATGTATATTTTAAATGTGAAAGGTCTAGATTCGTAAATCTAGACGTAAACATATATTTTAGTTGATTTTTAAAAATATTTTACTTTATTTTTGAATAATAAAAGATTCTCATAGGTAGAAAAATACACACTAAGAAGTAAAGAAACTTCCTTCCACCCCATCCCTTATGTCTTTCCTAGACTGTACCCTTCAGAAAATACTATTACCTAATACTGCTAATATTACTATTAGTAACATTAATGTTATTATATAATGTCCTATTTATTTAATAATGTAAAATATAATCTATAGTGTAGACTATACTATAGTACAGATAGAATATATAGTATTATTGCATAGGATATATTATTGTTATTTATACAATATTAACCACATTCAATTTCTTGTGCATCATTACAGATATAGCCACATATTCCCCCCTTTGCTTTTTCCACTTTGCTTTCTCTCTGGAAAAATAGATCGATAGATAATAGACAGATATAGATAGCTAAAACCAGATCTAAACCACCTGAAGAATAATCTTAATTCAAGTAATCTTATGATGAAATGAAATCAAATAAAAATAACCAGACTGATTTGTACATTTAATTCATTATGATTAGTGTGTGTATGTGTGTTTGAGACAGTGTCTTGCTATGTCATCCAATCTGGAGTGATGCAGTGGCACAATCATAACTCACTGCAGCCTCAAACTCCTGGGCTCAAGTGATTCTCCTTCCTCAGCTTCCTGAATAGATGGGACTACAGGTGTGCACAGACACACCAGCTAATTTTTAATTTTTTGTAGAGATAGGGTCTCATTATGTTGCCCAGGATGGTTCTCCTGACTCCAAAGCAATCTTCTCAGTCTTCCAAAGTACTGACATTATAGTCGTGAGCCACTGCAACCGGTCCATTGTCATTAATTTAAAACAACTAAAAAACTAACATTATCGTGAATCAGACATACAATCAACCCAAATCCAATCAGTCAACCTAAATGATAATTCACTCAAACAATATTCCAGTTCAAAAATAAGTACAAACAATACACTTGTCATTTTTGCCAGCCAGTTATATTCATTCATTATTAAATATTAGGATGAACAGGAAAACGTTAAAAACTTACATTTTTGTTTAAAAATATGTTTTTAAAAAATTTCCCTATAAGAGCATCACAATTTTACCTTTAAGAGCATTTTCCTTTATCTTAGATCACATTTGTTGCAGTCTAGACTTACTGGCAAAATGGCAACTTTGGCATAAGCTTCTTTTATATTTTCTTTCATTATTATTATTGTTTCTTGCAGCACATAATCTTCACTCTCAGTAGCTTGATTATTGGCATGCAGTAAGAAATTGGGTTTAGCTTTCAGGTAAACAGCAATGTCCCCAAGGAGTCCTTTATCTCGAACTATTTGTAACTGAAGAATGGTGATGTTCTCTGTGAGAGAAACATGCCCCGCATAAGTAACTTTTCTGTTTGCTGCCAATGCTGTTCCAAGCACTTAAGGTGCAATGTTCTGCTCCATCCCTTGTAGACCATCAAGGAAACAAAGGTAAAACAAAGATGATGCATACTCCCAAGGATTATTCTGTGTTTTGCCCATCTTATCCCCAAAGTTATGCTGAGAAACACCATCCACCCCTCCCATTCCATCCCAGTTCCAATCTCTGACATCAGATGATTCTCGGATGTACCCTCCTTTGTTGCAGAGGTCACATACTTTTACAGAAATGCTGAAAAGTCTCAGGGAAGTGCACAGATACAGGTTGAGCAGAGATGATCGTTACAAATGCTCTAGAGTCTTCAAAAATGAAACATGAACTACAACAGAGCCGTCATTTGATGACTAACCAGTAGAAGAGGAGTGATGTTCTCACAGTGAGGGGTGTATTACAAGGTCCAAGCATTTCATGGCACTTTATTTCATTTCTTAGATTTTCAAAAACTTAATTTGCCATATAAAATGAGAAAAAAAAGTCTCATCAATCTCTCCCACTAGTCCTTGGGTTCCTGATGCCCAAATATTGTGTCTTCGTTTCTAGAACACACAGAGCAATTCTTGGCACTTACTATATGCTTCAAAAATGTTTGTTAAATGAACAAAGAGTAGATCATTTTATGGTAAGTCTACCATTTCTGTTCCCACATATATGGATATAATTAAAGATCCACTGGCTTTTCAAATGTAAGGGACTTGGAGGCTAGATGTCCATGTTCCTATCTGAAAGGTTAGAAACTTCACATAGTATGTTCTAAATACATACATATTGTAAATAACATTTTATTAAATAAGTCAGATGAACTTTATCTACAAAAATCTACTCATCCAACAGCTGACATGAATTGTTATTTAGGTGAAGATTTAATCCCCTAAAGGAAACAGGGACTGGCCACTATAAACCTCACAAGGTAAAATTATCCTAATTACTGTTTTGGGTTAAACCATTAATGCCTGTGGTACCCTGTACATTCCTCTGTGTTGCGAACTGTTCCCTATAAATAGTGAAAACCTAGAAAGAGTAAATCTGAGTGAGGAAAGAGAACAAAGAAAGGATGAAAACCTGAAAGTAAAATAACAGCCAGTCACTTCTACTGCACTGACTTACCTCAAATATCCACATTTGTATTATGATAGTTATGTCTTTAAAAAGTAAAAATATGCCAGGCTCGGTGGCTCAGCCTGTAATCCCGCACCTTTGAGAGACTGAGGTGAGTGAATTGCCTGAGCCTGCGGGTTCGAGACCTGCCTGGGCAGCGAGACCTCATCTCTACAAT